GACTGCCCGAGATCACAGGTTTGAGACCTTGGTTCTAAAAATAGCTGGGCGTTGTGGCGGGCACGTGTAGTCCCAACTACTCAGAAGGCTGAGGCAAGAGAATTGCTTGAGCCCAAGAGTTTGAGGTTGCTGTGAGCTATGAAGACGCACTCTACTGAGGGTGTCAAAGTGAGACTGTGTCTCCAAAAAACCAAACCAAACCCATGGGTCTTGTTATCACATTAAATACCTTAGTTACGTTGGAGTAGCCTAGTAATAGCATAACTCTGTGGAAATACTCATTCATGATGGATCTCTACAACCAAAGGGCCTACCCATTCTGATAGGAATAAAATCAAGTCCACATTGCTCTCCATACTAAAGCAAATCTTGACAACTAAATGTTTAAGCTGTTAAAATAATTCCCACAGCTTATTTAAAAAATGTACTCAAACCCCTTCAATTAAGGCAGCATTTAATTAATGTTACCATAAATGTTTCTCAAACCTGAAAAGATGATAAAGGTTGTTCAAAGATTCTTTAATATAACGAATACAAAAGCGTGTGACCCCCACAATTACACAGCTATGAACAAGTGAAACTATGGTTACCAAATAGCTACTTTTATTGTAACATCTACAGTGTCTGAAAAAAGGATGTGATAATAAATAACTGTAGATGCATCACAAGATACCCATCACAGTAGTGGCTCTCACATGTTATACTAGTTTTTTTTTTTACTCTTCAGATTCTCCAGGCTTACGAATGTCATCAATCTTCAAAATCATTCTAACCATTTGTGTTGCAAGTGATATCTGTTGCTTTTTGCCAATCAAAGTTTCTATGACATGTTGTTGCTTCATATCTGCAAAACACAAGAAAATCAATTATCCTAGAACAGCATACATATTTGTATCAATAACCTGCTCTCATGTTGATTTATGGAATCACAAACTTAAGAAATACAAACTGTCAGAGTCCAAGTGGGAGGATGCTAATCTCAGTTAGATTTCATTACTTTCAAGGACATTCTGAAATTTGAACCCAGTTAACAAAAAGCTATTGGGGAACTGAAGGGAGGGAAGGACGCCAGTCTTTCCAATGACCAGCTGAAAGGTGAAACTTTTCAGTGACATCTCATCCCACAAAGTATCCATGCCCTAACTAGTAAATCTGAAGTAAAATTATATTGTAGTAGAAATATAAAATATTTCCAAGACCTAGAAATGCTAAATTTTAGCACAACCAGGCATTCAAGTAAAAACATTAAATATTTGTCTGACAGGGCGGTGCCTGTGGCTCAGTGTTGTGGTGGGTGCCTGAAGTCCCAGGTACTCGGGAGGCTGAGGTAAGAGAATCACTTAAGCCCAAGAGCTGAGGCTGCTGTGAGCTGTGATGCCATAGCACTCTACCGAGGGTGAGATAGTAAGACTCTGTCTTAAAAAAAAAAAAAATTTTTTTTTGTCTGACAAAGAGTTGCTTTTATTAAAACTTTGGGATATTGAGTATGAAAAGCAGAATATACCTATATACTTCTAAGATTCTTTGATTACAGAACTCCAGACATGGCTCTGTTAGTATAGAAATCCCTAGGACCACTGTTTCAATCAGCTAAACTTATCCTACCTTTTCAGCAGCTGAACTACGCAGGGATTACAGCAGTTAGAGCCGATCACATTGAGAAAACACAATGTGCAGATAGAACCACGTAGTAGCTAAAGTCCACTTCACAATTAACTGTTTTATATATGTAAAGTATACTTAAGATAGCTTCACAACATATGCCACAGTAATGTAATACACAAATATTCAATTTAGATAAAAATCACAGCCCTACAGAAGAATTGTGACAGCTCCTCACCATTTGTGCCCTTGTGCAAACAGTCAATTCCAAGAGCAGGGTTCATCTCCTTCACTTGTCTGGCTCGAACTTCAGTCATAGTCTGGATGGGATTCATGCCACTGTTTTCAGAAAGGGCCATGGGGATGACCTCCAGGGCGTCCGCAAATGCTCTCATGGCGTACTGCTCCAAGGTCGGGCACTGGAAGGGCACAAGTGATAAGCACACTTGGCAGAACCAGACAAAACCTCCAGCAGCAGCTGGGAAATACGACTCTCTTCTATACTTTGAAAGGCTGAGTTTTAAGAATATGCTGTCTTAATTAATCTAACAGAATACTGAAAAGTCACTACAGAATAAGGATACAGGGCATACATGTGAAAAATATGTAAGAACAAAACAGTACTTACTGCTTTAAGTTGTATTAATTTGAATATCAAATACCATTAAGACTGTAGAGATTTATTACTATTTCAAGGATGTAATGGTTGGAAACAGCTGAGGAATTCTAGTGTATGATAACCCGAGCCTGAGTACACAGATGGGTCCTATAGCTCAGACGCCCCCCAATCTCCCCACCATTCTGTCCCACAGCCTCACACCCCCCACCAGAGATGTCTCTTTCACTCATCGTTACGTGAGTGTCCCATGTGTCACCTTATCTGCCTCTCGGCTAACTGCCAGGGCACAGGATATCTCAGCAGCCCCTCCTCCATACACTACGCGATTATCACGGATGAGGTTCCGGATGACACACAGAGCATCATGGAGAGATCGTTTTGCTTCCTCAATGATCTAGGAAAAACAGTTTTGTCCAAATTAATGTGGTTAAAAAACAAAGACCGTATGATTCTCTCAACTGATGCAGAAAAAGCTTTTGATAATATCCAGCATCCTTTCATGATCAGAACAACTAAGAAAATAGGCATAGCATGGACATTTCTTAAGAGGCCACCTACAGCAAACCCATAGCCAATATCATAATGAATGGAGTAAAACTGAAAACATTCCCACTCAGATCAGGAACTAGGAAAGGACGCCCACTGTCTCCATTGCTATTCAACATAGTAATGGAAGTCTTAGCCAATGCAATCAGGCAAAAGATGGCGATCAAGGGTATCCAAATAGGGTCAGAGGAGATCAAACTCTCACTATTTGCTGATATGATCATATACCTGGAAAATCCCAGGGACTCAACTAAAAAACTCTTAGAAACAATCAAGGAATACAGTAGTGTCTCAGGATACAAAATCAATACTTACAAAATCAGTAGCTTTTACGTATGCCAATGATAGTCAAGTTGAAAATATAGTCAAGGACTCTATTCCTTTTATAGTAGTGCCAAAGATGATGAAACATCTGGGAATTTGCCTAACAAAGGATGTGAAAGATCTCTATAAAGAGAATTATGAAACTCTGACAAAAGAAATAGCTGAAGCTGGGTGGTGCCTGTGGCTCAGTGAATAGGGCGCTGGCCCCATATACTGAGGGTGGTGGG